AAACTCCACCAGTGTTCACATTTGGGCATATTGAGTATTTGTGCCAAGTTTGGTCTGGATTCATTTATAGGTGAACTATAAATCCCAGCGACTACAATCTCCCCCAAACTCTACCAGTGTTCACATTTGGGCATGTTGAGTATTAGTGCCAAGTTTGATCTGGATTCATCATTATATGAGTCCTCTGGATGTAGGTGAACTACAATTCCAAAACTCAAGGTCAATGCCCACCAAACCCTCCTAGTATTTTCTATTCATCATGGGAATTCTGTGTGCCAAGTTTGGTTCAATTCCATCGCTGGTGGAGTTCAGAATGCTCTTTGGTTGTAGGTGAACTATAAATCCCAGCAACTACAACTCCCAAATGTCAAGATCTTTTTCCCCAAACTCCACCAGTGTTCACATTTGGGCATGTTGAGTATTTGTGCCAAGACTGGTCTGGATTCATCATTATTTGAGTCCTCTGGATGTAGGTGAACTACAACTCCAAACCACAAGGGCTTTGATTGTAGGTTTTTTGTTTGTTTTTGGTTTTTTTGGTCGTGTCAGGAGCGACCTGAGAAACTACAAGTCACTTCTGGTGTGAGAGAATTGGCCGTCTGCAAGGACGTTGCCCAGGGGACGCCCAGATGATTTGATTTTTTTTATCATCCTTGTGGGAGACTTCCCTCATGTCCCCATATGAGGAGCTGGAGCTGAAAGAGGGAGCTCATCCGCCTCTCTCCGGATTCAAACCTGCGACCTGTCGGCCTTCAGTCCTGCTGGCACAGGGGTTTAACCCACTGCGCCACTGTGGGCTCCTTTTGATTGTAGGTGAACTATAAATCCCAGCAAATGTTGTTGTTCATTCGTTCAGTCGTCCCCGACTCTTCGTGACCTCATGGACCAGCCCACGCCAGAGCTCCCTGTCGGCCGTTACCACCCTCAGCTCCCTCAAGGTCAGTCCAGTCACTTCAAGGATGCCATCCATCCATCTTGCCCTTGGTCGGCCCCTCTTCCTTTTGTCTTCCACTTTCCCCAGCATCATTGTCTTCTCTAGGCTTTCCTGTCTCCTCATGATGTGGCCAAAGTACTTCAACTTTGTCTCTAGTAAATACAACTCCAGCAAATACAACTCCTAAATGTCAAGGTCTATTTTCCACAAACTCCACCAATGTTCACATTTGTGCATATTGAGTATTCATGCCAAGTTTGGTCCATAGATGTGGGCGAAATGTCAGGAGTGCTCTCTGGATGTGGGTGAACTACAACTCGAAAACTCAAGGTCAATGCCCACCAAACCCTTCCAGTATTTTCTGTTGGTCATGGGAGTTCTGTGTGCCAAGTCTGGTTCAATTCCATCGCTGGTGGAGTTCAGAATGCTCTTTGATTGTGGGTGAACTATAAATTCCAACAACTACAACTCCCAAATTTCAAGGTTTATTTCCCCCAAACTCCACCAGTATTCACATTTGGGCATATTGAGTATTAGTGCCAAGTTTGGTCTGGATTCATCATTATATGAGTCCTGGATGTAGGTGAACTATAATTCCAAAACTCAAGGTCAATGCCCACCAAACCCTTCCAGTATTTTCTCTTCGTCATGGGAGTTCTGTGTGAATCTGCCTGAGACGGTTCGGGCCTCTTGTCTGAGTTTAACTCAGGCCCAGGCAAATCCTCATCCCCATTTCCGACATGGCCAGGCCCACCATCAGGAATATCATCCTCATTCCGTGGATGCCGTGGATGTAGCGTACCTGGATTTCAGGAAGGCCTTCTTTGACGAGGTCCCCCATGACCTTCTGGCAAGGAAACTAGTCCAATGTGGGCTAGGCAAAACTACGGTGAGGTGGATCTGGAATTGGTTAAGTGGACGAACCCAGAGGGCACTCACTAATGGTTCCTGTTCATCCTGGAAAGAAGTGACAAGTGGAGTGCCGCAGGGTTCCGTCCTGGGCCCGGTCCTGCTCAGGATCTTCATTCATGACTTAGATGAAGGGTTAGAAGGCAGGATCATCAAGTTTGCAGACGACACCAAATTGGGAGGGAGAGCCAAGACTCCAGAGGACAGGAGCAGGATTCAAAACGATCTTGACAGATGAGAGAGATGATGGGCCAAAACTAGCAAAATGAAGTTCAACAGTGACAAATGCAAGATACTCCACTTTGGCAGAAAAAACGAAATGCAAAGAGACAGAATGGGGGACGATGATGCCTGGCTCAAGAGCAGGACGTGTGAAAAAGATCTTGGAGTCCTCGTGGACAACAAGTTAAACATGAACCAACAATGTGATGTGGCGGCAAAAAAAGCCAATGGGATTTTGGCCTGCATCAATAGGAGCATAGTGTCTAGATCTAGGGAAGTCATGCTCCCCCTCTATTCCGCTTTGGTTAGACCACACCTGGAATATTGTGTCCAATTCTGGGCACCACAATTCAAGAGAGATATTGACAAGCTGGAATGTGTCCAGAGGAGGGCGACTAAAATGACCAAGGGTCTGGAGAACAAGCCCTATGAGGAGCGGCTTAAGGAGCTGGGCATGTTTAGCCTGAAGAAGAGAAGGCTGAGAGGAGATATGATAGCCATGTATAAATATGTGAGAGGAAGCCACAGGGAGGAGGGAGCAAGCTTGTTTCTGCTTCCTTGGAGACTAGGACGCAATGGAACAATGGCTTCAAACTACAAGAGAGGAGATTCCATCTGAACATGAGGAAGAACTTCCTGACTGTGAGAGCCGTTCAGCAGTGGAACTCTCTGCCCCGGAGTGTGGTGGAGGCTCCTTCTTTGGAAGCTTTTAAACAGAGGCTGGATGGCCATCTGACAGGGGTGATTTGAATGCAATATTCCTGCTTCTTGGCAGAATGGGGTTGGACTGGATGGCCCATGAGGTCTCTTCCAACTCTTTGATTCTATGATTCTAGTGGAGTCCCGTTCTCTGGAGGTTTTCAAGCAGAGGCTGGATGGCCATCTGTCGGGAAGGCTTTGATGGTGTCTTACTGCCTAGCAGAAGGGGTTTGGACTGGATGTCCTTTAGGAGTCTCTTCCCACTGTAGGAGTCCCCTTGGGAGATACAAATAAATTATTATTATTATTATTATTATTATTATTATTATTATTATTATTAACACCACTGTGCTAGCTGTTGTATTGGATCACACATCAGACACTTCCCAAGTGTCTAGGACTGCGATGTATCAGCGAATAATGCGTGCAGATCCCAGTAAGGTGGCCTTCTGCAGCTAGCAGACGGTAATCTTGTCAGTGCCGATTGTGTTTAAGTGCAGGCCAAGGTCTTTAGGCACTGCATCCAATGTGCCAATCACCACCGGGACCACCTTTACTGGCTTGTGCCAGAGTCTTTGCAGTTCGATCTTTAAATCTTCATATCGTGTCAGCTTTTCCAGTTGTTTCTTTTCAATCCTGCTGTCACCTGGCATTGTGACATCAACGATCCATACTTTGTTTTTAACACGATCGTGAGGTCAGGAGTATTACACTCCAAAACTCTGTCTGTCTGAATCCGGAAGTCCCAGAGGAGTTTGATGTGTTCATTCTCTGTAACTTTTTCCGGCTTGTGATCCCACCAGTTCTTTGTTGCAGGCAGATGGTATTTGTGGCACAAGTTCCCGTGAATCATCTGAGCAAGGGTGTTGTGCCTCTGCTTGGAGTCTGTCTGTGTGATCTTCTTGCAGCAGCTGAGGATGGGAGCTATTGTTTCATCTGCTTCCTTGCAGAGTCTACACTTGGGATCTGTTGTCGACTTTTCAATTCTGGCTTTGATAGCCTTGTTTCGAATGGCTTGTTCTTGGGCTGCCAGAATCAGGCCCTCCTTTGTCTCCTTTTTCAGAGTCCCATTTGTGAGCCACATCCACGTTTTTTCTTTGTCAATTTGGCTCTCAATTTTCCCCAGGAACTGTCCATGGAGAGAGAGCCTTCTTCTTTTGCCAGTTTTCTGCTCTGCATTGTTTTGGGTTTTTTTACGGTATTCACTCTTTGTCTTTTGCACTTTAAGCTGTTTACTACTGTATTATCATCATCATCATCATCATCATCATCATCGTTATTTGAAACATAACAAGATTAGTACACAGCAAACAAGATCACTATGCTCGTTGTTGCATTGGATCCACATGCTTGTGTATTTCAATGGCTTCTCTGTGTAGTGGACAATTTCAACAGAAAGGAGGAAACCATGAAAACCAAAAAAAATCTGGCCACCAGTATTTAAAAACTTCAAAATTACAACAGCACAACAACAGAGAGGAAACAAACAAAGGCATCTAATCATCTCTCAACAAAAGATTGCTCTAGGCACTGCCAGGCCATCAAATGCTAATCAAGGTGGTCAGTGGAAACATTCACACCTAGCTCCAGCAGACAAGAGTCCTTTGTCTCACCCTGGTCATTCCACAGATATATAAACCCTTTTTCCTAGTTCCAACAGACCTCACTACCTCTGAGGATGCTTGCCATAGATGCAGGCGAAACGTCAGGAGAGAATGCCTCTAGACCATGGCCATATACCGTGTTGAGTCACCTACGGGCTGAGAAACTGCGGTATACAAATAAAGTAAATAAATAAATAAATAAATAAATAAAATATAGCCCGAAAAAAAACGTACAACAACCCAGTGATTCCAGCCATGAAAACCTTCGACAATACATAATAATAATAATGATGATGATGATGATGATGATGATGATGTAGTAAACAGCTTAAAATGCAAAGTTTTGTCAGCGCTGATTGTGTTTAAGTGCAGGCCAAGGTCTTTAGGCACTGTGCCCAGTGTGCCGATCACCACTGGGACCCCCTTGACTGGTTTGTGCCAGAGTCTTTGTTGCTCGATCTTTAAATTCTCATTTCGTGTCAGCTTTTCCAGTTGTTTCTCTTCAATCCTGCTGTCGCAAGGGATTGCAACATCGACAATCCATAGTTGGTGGTGGTGGTGGTGGTGGTGGTTGTTGTTATTATTATTATTATGAGGTTGACTGCCATGTTCCTTCTTCTTTCCTGGGCCAGGACCCCAAACATCCCGTGGAGAACCTCTTGCTGGACGAGGGCAGCCTTCTTCGCCCTTGGCTCTGCTGCCCTCGGGACAGGAGCCGCCAGCTCAAAGCCGAGCTGCAGCTGGAGCAAGCCACGCGTATTGGCTACGTGGATGTGGGTGAGTGCAAAAAGCAACACCACACACAAAGTTAAAAACTTGGCATGATACTAAATGTCCTTTGAGCAGTATCTGGCCCCTTGGAGTGCCTCTGGTGTTGCTCTGAGAAGGTCCTCCATTATATATGTGGTAGGGCTCAGACCACATTGTAGAAGGTGGTCTATGGTTTGCTCTTCTCCGCACTCACATGTCATGTACTCCACTTTGTGGCCCCATTTCTTAAGGTTGGCTCTTCATCTCATGGTGCCAGAGCGCAGTCTGTTCAGCATCTCCTACATCACCTAGTTTTCTGTGTACCCTGGTGGGAGTTTCTCCTTCTTGGGCCTCTGGCACTGAACGTGGTCTGATGTCTGTGTCCCCAGGGAACTGTGGCTCAGCCTTCCTGCAGATCGATGTGGGGCGCTCCTCCTGGGCCCCGGGCCAGAGCTACCTCACCCTCCTGCCCTGCACGGCCCTGATGACCCCGGCTGAGGCCAAAGGGGGCCAGAACTGCTCCGGGGTCCGAATGTTCAAGGAAGGTAAGGAGGAAGGAAGGAGTGAAGGGGAAAGGGAATGGAAGGGAGGGAGGGAAGGGAAGAGAAAAGGAAGGAAGGAGAAAAGAAGGGAATGAGGGATGGGAAGAGGAGAGGAAAGGAAGGGGGAAGGAAGGAAGGAAGGGAAGGAGAAAAGAGAAGGAAGGATGAGAGGGGAAGGGGAGAGGAAAGGAATGTGAAATGAAGAGAAGGGAAGAGGAAGGAAGGAAGAAAGAGAAGGGGAAAGAAAGGAAGGAAAGGGAAAGCAAGGAAGAAAGGGAAGGGAAAAGGAAGGAAGGGGAAAAGAAGAGAAGGAGGGATGGGAAGGGGAAAGGAAAGGAAGGGAAAGGAAGAGGAAGGAAGGGAAGGAAGGGAAAGGAAGGAAGGAAGGAGAAAAGAAGAAGGATGGGAAGGGGAGAGGAAAGGAAAAGTGAAATGAAGAGAAGGGAAGAAGGGAAAGGGAAGGAAAGGAAGGGAAAGAAGGAAGAAAGGAAGGGAAAGAAAGAGGGGAAAAGAAGAGAAGGAGGGATGGGAAGGGGAGAGGAAAGGAATGTAAAATGAAGAGAAAAGAAGAGAAGAGAAAAGAAGAGAAGAGGAAGGAAGGAAGAGAAGGAGAAAGAAAGGAAAGGAAAGGAAGGGGAAAGGAAGGAAGGAGGGAAGGAAGGATGGAAAGGGGAAAGGAAGGAAGGAGAAAAGAGAAGGAGGGATGGGAAGAGGAGAGGAAAGGAAAGGAAGGTGAAATGAGAAGGGAAGAGGAAAGAAGGGAAGGAAGGGGGAAGGAAGGGAGGAAGGAAAGGGAAGGGGCAAGGAAGGAAGGAGAAAAGAAGGGAAGGAGGGATGGGAAGAGGAGAGGAAAGGAAGGTGAAATGAGGAGAAGGGAAGAGGAAAGAAGGGAAGGAAGGGGCAAGGAAGGGAGGAAGGGAAGGGAAGGGGCAAGGAAGGAAGGAGAAAAGAAGGGAAGGAGGGATGGGAAGGGGAGAGGAAAGGAAAGGAAGGTGAAATGAAGAGAAAGGAAGGGAAAGGGAAAGGAAGGAAGGGGAGAAGGAAGGAAGGTGGGAAGAAGGAAGGGGAAGGGAAGGGGAAAGGAAGGAGAGAAAGAAAGCAGGAAGAGAAGGAAGGAAGAAAGGAAACAAAGGAAAAGGAAGGAAGGGAAAGGGACAGAAGGAAGAGGAAGGCAGGTAGCAGCTGCACTTAGGGTCATCGAATCCAAGGTGGGCTTCCACACTAGAGCTGAAAGAGCCGGCAAAGAGCGCGCATCCCACCTGAAACCCTGTGGCTGCCTTCTTCCGCAGAATTCTGTGGCTTCTGGTTCCACTACCAAACATCTCTAAACACTCTCCTCCGATGGAGGCAGCCTAGAATCACATTGGCTTTTTTGCACATCTTAAACACAAAGCTGCACCACTTAATTATTCCAGATATTCAGATTTTGAGAGGTCACCTCCATGTGTTGGCTCTGTGTCTCCTTGACCTCATCTCCAGGGGACTTCTTGGCTCCCGCTCAGGCTGAGAAGTGGGACAGGGTCCGCCTCACCTGCAGCCAGCCCTTCAACCGACAGGCCCAGTTTGGCCTCACCTTCATCCGGATCCGGACGCCGCTGGACGCAGAGGAGGCCCATGCAGCACCGGCCTCCTCTCCTGGAAAGGTACGCACCAAGGGACCATCGTCACTTTCGCAGGGGCAACTGTCCTGCCCTTTTCATGTGCACCTCGGTCCACACTCACAGGATCATAGGATCCTAGAGTTAGAAGAGACCCCAAGAGGCCATCCAGCCCAGCCCACTTCTGCCAGGCAGGAAGGCGCCATCCAAGCCCTCTTCACAGATGGCCAGCCAGCCCCTGCTTGATAATAGCAATAAGAATTATAGAACCCTAAAGTTGGAATAATAGAATCCTAAAGTTGGAAGAGACGAAAAGAGACATAGCACAGACGGCATTCTGTTAGGATAGCTGCTAAAAACGCTGAGCTAATTGGGAGACGCCCTAGCACCTCCTGCGTAGGGAATTCAGGGCTATAAATCAGAGGCAGGAGTAGTAGTAGTAGTTGTATTGTCGAAGGCTTTCATGGCTGGAATCACTAGGTTCTTGTGGGTTTTTTCGGGCTATAGAGCCATGTTCTAGAGGCATTTCTCCTGACGTTTCGCCTGCATCTATGGCAAGCATCCTCAGAGGTACCTCTGAGGATGCTTGCCATAGATGCAGGCGAAACGTCGGAGAAATGCCTCTAGAACATGGCTCTATAGCCCAAAAAAACCCCACAAGAACCTAGTAGTAGTAGTTGTTTTTTGTTGTTGTTGTTGTTGTTGTTATTATTATTATTATTATTATTATTATTATTATTATTATGCAGGGGCTGGATGGCTGGCTGTGAGGAGGGCTTCGGTGGTGCCTTCCAAAGGCCATCCAATCCAGCCCCCTTCTGCTAGGGAGGAAGGCACCATCTAAGCCCTACTCACAGATGGCCATCCATCCCCTGCTTAGCACAACAACAATAGAATCCTAGAGTCAAAGGGGTCCTCCAAAGGCCATTCAGCCCTGCCCCCTTCCGCCAGGCAGGAAGGCACCATCCAAGCCCTCCTCACAGCCAGCCATCCAGCCCCTGTATAATAATAATAATAATAATAATAATAATAATAATAATAATAATAATAGTTTATAGCCCTTAATTCCCCATGCAGGAGGTGCTAAGGCGTCTCCCAATTAGCTCAGCGTTTTTAGCAGCTATCCTAGCTGCCAGCCATCCAGCCCCTGCATAATAATAATAATAATAATAATAATAATAATAATAATAATAATTTATAGCCCTGAATTCCTCATGCAGGAGGTGCTAGGGCGTTTCCCAATTAGCTGAGCATTTTTAGCAGCTATCCTAGCAGCCAGCCATCCAGCCCCTGCATAATAATAATAATAATAATAATAATAATAATAATAATAATTTATAGCCCTGAATTCCCCATGCAGGAGGTGCTAGGGCGTCTCCCAATTAGCTCAGCATTTTTAGCAGCTATCCTAGCAGAACGCCATCCAGCCCCTGCATCATAATAATAATAATAATAATAATAATAATAATAATAATAATTTATAGCCCTGAATTCCCCATGCAGGAGGTGCTAGGGCGTCTCCCAATTAGCTCAGCGTTTTTAGCAGCTATCCTAGCAGACAGCCATCCAGCCCCTGCATAATAATAATAATAATAATAATAATAATAATAATAATAATTTATAGCCCTGAATTCCCCATGCAGGAGGTGCTAGGGCGTCTCCCAATTAACTCAGCATTTTTAGCAGCTATCCTAGCAGACAGCCATCCAGCCCCTGCATCATAATAATAATAATAATTTATAGCCCTGAATTCCCCATGCAGGAGGTGCTAGGGCGTCTCCCAATTAGCTCAGCATTTTTAGCAGCTATCCTAGCAGAACGCCGTCTGTGCTCTGTCTCTTTTCGTCTCTCTAGAAATGTGTGCACTTTCAAACCCTCCTCATCTGATTCTTCTCCTACCTCCAATTCCTGAGCACGTCCCTGCTCCCCTTCCTCCTCTGTAGGCGATCTAATCCTGGATTTTCTATGGAATCAACTGGAATCATCTGCATAGCGAAACCACCATCCTCAATACCAGTTTGAAACTGTATTATATGGTCAGTGTAGTTGGGGCTTATGATATTTTGACCCTTCTCCTTTTTCCTTCTCTATTCACCACACACAGAGTCCTGCTGAGCTCCCAAGTAACCCATGGCTTTCCAATGCAGCCATTTGCAGGACTTTCTTCCCAGAGGAGCAAGCGTAAGTACTACTACCACTTCTACAATGGCAATTACTGCTTGTTATTCTTAACAATAGTAGTTTTTTTTGGTCATGTCTTGTATTTATTTATTTATTTACTTATTTACTTCATGTATATACCACTTTTCTCAAAGTTCACGGCAAAAATTCACTGGTAACATATAACTATATAACGGTTATATAACGGTTTGTGTCCTTTTTAAGGGCATATGCCGCGGTAATAAAAGCCGCAAAGAAAACCTTCTTTGCGGCCACTATTGCGTCTGCAAAAAACCGTCCGGCGGAGTTGTTTCGGATTGTCAGAGGTCTTTTAACTCCCGCCACCTCAGGCGGGAGCCCTGACAATTCGGTCACGCGCTGCGAAGCATTTGCTCGGTTCTTTGCAGACAAAGTCGCTTTGATCCGTTCTGGGCTGGACACCATGTTAAATGCAGTCTCTGAGGATGTGACACGAGCACCTGCTTGTCCTATTTTGATGGATTCTTTTCAATTTGTGAAGCCCGAGGATGTGGACAAGATACTTGGAGGAATGAGGCCCACTACGTCCATCCTAGACCCCTGCCCATCCTGGCTTCTGAAGGAGGCCAGAGGGGGATTGGCTGAGTGGGTAACGGTGGTGGTTAATGCCTCCCTTCGGGAAGGCAAGATTCCAGCGAGCTTAAAACAAGCTATTATAAAACCGCTGTTGAAGAAACCATCACTGGACCCCACTAAATTTGACAACTTTCGGCCTGTTTCCAATCTCCCCTTCTTGGGCAAAGTCATGGAAAGCGTGGTGGCCTCACAACTCCAGGTATTCTTGAGAGACACGGATATTCTGGATCCGGCACAGTCTGGTTCAGACCGGGACATGGTACCGAGACGGTCTTGGTCGCCTTAGTGGATGATCTGCGCCGGGAGCTAGACAGGGGGAGTGTGTCCCTGTTGGTGCTGCTGGACCTCTCAGCGGCCTTCGATACCGTCGACCATGGTATCCTTCTGGGATGCCTCGCAGGGATGGGTCTTGGAGGTACTGTTTTGCAGTGGCTCCGGTCATTCCTCGAGGGTCAGTCTCAGATGGTGTTATTGGGAGACTCCTGTTCAACCCCACAACCTTTGTCGTGTGGGGTTCCTCAGGGTTCAATACTGTCTCCCATGTTGTTTAACATCTACATGAAGCCGCTGGGGGAGATCATCCGGAGTTTCGGAGTGCGATGTCATTTGTACGCAGATGATGTCCAACTCTGTCACTCCTTTTCACCTGCTACTAAGGAGGCTGTCGAGGTCCTGAACCGGTGCTTGGCCGCTGTGACGGTCTGGATGGGGGCGAACAAATTGAAATTGAATCCAGACAAGACAGAGGTACTCCTGGTTAGTCGTAAGGCCGAACAGGGTATAGGGTTACAGCCTGTGTGGATGGGGTCGCACTCCCCCTGAAAACACAGGTTAGCAGCTTGGGAGTGATCCTAGATTCATCATTGAGCCTGGAACCCCAGGTTCCAGCGCCAGGGGAGCTTTGCACAATTAAAACTTGTGCGCCAACGCCGTACCTTGGGAAGTCTGACTTGGCCACGGTAGTCCACGCTCTGGTTACATCCCGGATTGATTACTGCAACTCGCTCTACGTGGGGTTGCCCTTGAAGACTGCCCGGAAGCTGCAGATGGTCCAGCGCTCGGCAGCCAGGTTGCTAACAGGAGCGGCACTCAGGGAGCATACAACTCCTCTGTTGTACCAGCTCCACTGGCTGCCGATCTGCTACCGGGCCCAATTTAAGGTGCTGGTGTTATCCTACAAAGCCCTAAACGGTTCCGGCCCAAAATACCTTTCGGACCGCATCTCGGCCTATGAGCCCACGAGGGCCTTGAGATCATCTGGGGAGGCCCTTCTCTCGATCCCGCCTGCCTCACAGGCACGTCTGGCGGGGACGAGAGAGAGGGCCTTCTCGGTGGTGGCCCCCCGGCTGTGGAACACCCTCCCTGTTGACATCAGACAGGCGCCCTCCCTTATGTCGTTCCGTAAGAGCCTAAAGACCTGGCTATTTGAGAAGGCATTTAATTGAGTGCTACATTGACTGGTAATTGGCAACTGGAACGGAATATGGATTATGAGATTGGTTATGATTCTATGTTATGACGGTGCGGATTAGTTAGTGTAATTTAGATTAGTGTGTATTGTTGATATGTTGATTTCCTGTTGTGCTTTATTAGAAACTGTTTTTATATGTTGTACACCGCCGCGAGTCGCCCTAGGGCTGAGAGCGGCGGTCAATAAATGAAGCAAATAAATAAATAAATAAATAAATAAACTATAAATTAAATTGAACCATATTAAATAGAGGAACAACAACATCTAGACGTTTCAACATGGAATTAAAATGTATTAATATGAAACATTAAAATCACTTAATCCAAAAGCCGAAGTCCGAGGCCTTTCCAAAAGTCAATTGCGCATAATCCTGTATGTTTTTGGCATTGCTACTGCCCACATCCATTTCTTTCCTTTCTTTCTGAAGGCCAAAAAGGAGGATCTAATTTAGGTAGGGAGGGTGTTCCATAGGCAAGGGGCCACCACTGAGAAGGCCCTGTCTCTCGTCCCCACCAGTCGCACTTGCGAAGCAGATGGGAGGAAGGAAGGTGAGAAAGGGAAGGAAAAGGGAGGAAGGAAAGAGGTAGAGAAGGAAGGAGGGAAGGAAAGAAGAACAGGGAAAGAAGGAAAGAAAGAAAGAAAGAAAGAAAGAAAGAAAAAGGGAGGGAGGGAAGGGAGGAAGGAGGAAGGAGGGAGAGAAGGAAAAAAGAAAAGGGAAGGAGGGAATGAAGGAGGGAAAGAGGGAGGTAAGGTTGGCCACAGCAACGCGTGGCAGGTACAGCTAGTCTATATAAATAAAAATGTAATGTTCGTTTGTGGGATTAACAGAACTTGAAAACCACTGGACGAATTGACACCAAATTTGGACACAAGACACCTAACAACCCAATGTATGTCCTTCACTCAAAAAATTGATTTTGTCATGCTGGAATTTATGGTTCACCTTCGATCAAAGAGCATTCTGAACTCCAACAATTATGGAATTGAACCAAACTTGGCACCGATTTCTCCCATGACCAACAGAAAATACTGGAAGGGTTTGGTGGGCAGTGTCCTTTGGTTTTGGAGTTGTAGTTCACCTACATCCAGAGAGCACTGTGGACTCAAACACTGATGGATCTGGACCAAACTCTACATGAAGACTCAATATGCCCAAATGTGAACACTGGTGGAGTTTGGGGAAAATATAATCTTGACTGTATTGTCGAAGGCTTTCATGGCCGGAATCACTGGGTTGTTGTAGGTTTTTTCGGGCTATATGGCCATGGTCTAGAGGCATTCTTTCCTGACGTTTCGCCTGCATCTATGGCAAGCATCCTCAGAGATAGTAAGGTCCTCACTACCTCTGAGGATGCTTGCCATAAATGCAGGCGAAATGTCAGGAGAGAATTCCTCTAGAACATGGCCATATAGCCCAAAAAAACCTACAACAACCACATAATCTTGACATTTGGGAGTTGTAGTCGCTGGGATTTATAGTTCACCTACAAGCACAGAGCATTCTGAACCTCATCAATGACAGAATTGGGCCAAACCTCCCACACAGAACCTCCATGTGGGCCACAGCAACCTGTGGCAGGGGACGGCTAGTATAATATAAATTTATATAAATATATTTACATATTATTTATATAAAACATTAAATAATAATAATAATAATAATAATAATAATGATGATGTTGGTCTCTGTTCTCATGATGCATCCATGCTGATCCTTCTGTGCTTCCTCACTGGGCTTTCCTCCCTCTGTCTCTGCAGGGTCTCCAAGGAGGAAGTGGCCCTGAGGAGCCGCCTGCAGCAGTTGGGCCCCTCTTCCGGCCCCGGAGGAAGCCCCTCGCCCTGCTTGAGCCGCCCAGCCAGGATGGTACTCAAGGCGGCCTCTTCTTCTTCCTCCTCGGCCTCTCGCAAAAGAACCTTCCCGCTGCTGCCGGACTCCTCTCCCCTTGGGGCCAAGGGCGCAGAGGAGAAGAGGTCAAGCAACCTGGGATTGTGTGAGTACTTTACGTCATGCTGGGATGTCAAGAGAGATATTGACAAGCTGGAATGTGTCCAGAGGAGAGCGACTAAAATGATAAAAGGTCTGGAGAACAAGCCCTATGAGGAGCGGCTTGAGGAGCTGGGCATGTTTAGCCTGAAGAAGAGAAGGCTGAGAGGGGATATGATAGCCATGTATAAATATGTGAGAGGAAGCCACAGGGAGGAGGAGGGAGCAAGCTTGTTTTCTGCTTCCCTGGAGACTAGGACGCAATGGAGCAATGGCTTCAAACTACAAGAGAGGAGATTCCATCTGAACATGAGGAAGAACTTCCTGACTGTGAGAGCCGTTCAGCAGTGGAACTCTCTGCCCCGGAGTGTGGTAGAGGCTCCTTCTTTGGAAGCTTTTAAACAGGGGCTGGATGGCCATCTGTCAGGGGTGATTTGAATGCAATATTCCTGCTTCTTGGCAGAATGGGGTTGCACTGGATGATTGCCCAGGAGGTCTCTTCCAACTCTTGGATTCTAGGATTCTATGAATTGTATGTATTACAATTACTTCCAGGCTCCTTCTTTGGAAGCTTTTATCCTTCTTTGGAAGCATTTAAACAGAGGCTGGATGGCCATCTGTCAGGGGTGTTTTGAATGCAATATTCCTGCTTCTTGGCAGAATGGGGTTGGACTGGATGGCCCAGGAGGTCTCTTCCAACTCTAGGATTCTATGATTCTTAACATTGTAAACATTTCTGTTATCACTGTCCCAGTTCTTACTACAGTTTACTTTTCAGCTCTTATTAGCCAATATTAATAATGTTGTAATATAATATATTATGTTAATAACTTATGATGGCATATTATATTTATTTATTGGGTCAGGAGCAATCAGACATTTGTATTACATTTTTAACAAAACAAACAAACAGACAGACAGACAAAACACAAAGTTTGCAAGCTTGATAGTTGATTAAATGTCCTTTCACCAGTATCTGGCCACTTGGAGTGCCTCTGGTATTGCCGCAAGAAGGTCCTTCATTGTGCATGTAGCAGGGCTCAGGTTGCATTGCAGCAGGTGGTCTGTGGTTTGCTCTTCTCCGCACTCGCATGTCGAGGATTCCACTTTGTAGCCCCATTTCTGAAGGTTGGCTCTGCATCTCGTGGTGCCAGAGCGCAGTCTGTTCAGCGCCTTCCAAGTCGCCCAGTCCTCTGTGTGCCCAATCATAGAATCAAAGAGTTGGAAGAGACCTCATGGGCCATCCAGTCCAACCCCATTCTGCCAAGAAGCAGGAAATTGCATTCAAAGCACCCCTGACAGATGGCCATCCAGCCTCTGTTTAAAAGCTTCCAAAGAAGGAGCCTCCACCACACTCCAGGGCAGAGAGTTCCACTGCTGAACAGCTCTCACAGTCAGGAAGATCTTCCTAATGTTCAAGTGGAATCTCCTTTCCTGTAGTTTGAAGCCATTACTCCATTGCGTCCTAGTCTCCAGGGCAGCAGCAAACCAGCTTGCTCCCTCCTCCCTGTGACTTCCTCTCACATATTTATACATGGCTATCATATCTCCCCTCAGCCTTCTCTTCTTCAGGCTAAACATGCCCAGCTCCTTAAGCCGCTCCTCATAGGGCTTGTTCTCCAGACCCTTGATCATTTGAGTCGCCCTCCTCTGGACACATTCCAGCTTGGTCAATATCTCTCTTCAATTGTGGTGCCCAGAATTGGACACAATATTCCAGGTGTGGTCTAACCAAGGCAGAATAGAGCATGGGTAGCATGACTTCCCTAGATCTAGACACTATGCTCCTATTGATGCAGGCCAAAATCCCATTGGCTTTTTTTGCCACCACATCACATTGTTGGCTCATGTTTAACTTGTTGTCCACAAGGACTCCAAGATCTTTTTCACACGTACTGCTCTCAAGCCATGCGTCCCCCATTCTGTATCTTTGCATTTCATTTTTTCTGCCTAAGTCAGTTTTCTGTGTGCCCAGAGGGGAATCTCTCATTTGGTATCAGCCATTGTTTGAGGTTCTGGGATTGAGCCTGCCACTTTTGGACTCTCGCTTGCTGAGGTGTTCCAGCGAGTGTCTCTGTAGATCTTAGAAAACTATTTCTTGATTTAAGTCGTTGACGTGCTGGCTGATACTCAAACGGGATGAGCTGGAGATGTCTCTGCCTTGGTCCTTTCACTATTGGCTGTTACTTCCCGGCGGATGTCAGCTGGTGCAATACCGGCTAGACAGTGTAATTTCTCCAGTGGTGTAGGGCGCTCACCCTGTGATAATGCGGCATGTCTCATTCAGAGCCACATCCACTGTTTTAGTGTGGTGAGATGTGTTCCACACTGGGCATGCATACTCAGCAGCAGAGTAGCACAGCGCAAGGGCAGATGTCTTCACTGTGTCTGGTTGTGATCCCCAGGTTGTGCCAGTCAGCTTTCGTATGAACATGGCCCTATAGCCCGAAAAAACCCACAAGAACCCAGTGATTCCAGCCATGAAAGCCTTCGACAATACATCTAGAATGCCCTTTGAGTTCCTCTTAAGGCAAGGAACGGAAGGTTAAAACAACAACAACAACAACAACAACAACAACAACAACAACAACAACAAAACCTTATTTCTATACAGCTCTGTCTCCCCGAGGGGACTCAGAGAGGTTTCCAAGTAACATGACAGAATCTGAATCAATACATACAAAGAAAACAGCATAAACATAAAATTAACAAGACAATATAAGCATTCAAACCACAACAGCACATATGGATTTAAAATAATCCTGCAGTTTGAAAGGCCGGGCCAGGCCAGTGCGATTTTAGGGGGCCCAGGAAATTAGGTGAAGTCCATGGCTGTCCATTTCCAGGCAGGGCCTAACAGAAGAGAGAAAATCACGCAGCCACAAAGGAAGGCGCAGCACCATGAAAAGGTAAACACCAGGTGAAAAGAAAGTCACCTCCATTCACAAAGCATACAGGTGAAGCAAGGCAACCCATTCACCAGCCCAGAACTCAGCAAATGCCTGACAAGAGGTATCCCAGCAGAGCTGTCCTAGAAAGACATGGGGGGGGGGGCACCTCTTCTCTTGGGACCCCTAAGGCCCAAGGCCGCTACTCCCCCCTCAGCCCATGCCCCTCTCTGCTGGGTTTTGACCCTTCTGTCTCCCCAATGGGAGGGTCTTTGGGGCAGACAGAGACCCTTTGGGCCCTTTGCCAGCCTTTGCCAGAGAGAGAGCCTTCCCTGGGCAGCGCCAGCAGCATGGCATGGCATGGCATGGCGAGGCACCTTGACCCAGGCACTAATAATGATTAACTGGGAAGGCAGGGCTGGCCTTTGATGTGGCCTTTGATGTGGCCCAGGAGGATGTGGGCAGCAGGCATGGAAGGCCAAAGGGGAGGTGGGCAGTGGGCCAAGGCAGGGCGAGCGGGCCCTTCCTGAACTCAAGGAGAAGGCTGGGTTGGGTCCTCGGGGTCACCCAGGAAGAGGGATTGCACCTGTGCTTGCGTGCAGTCAGAAGAAGAAGAATTTTGGGTTGTTGTAGGGTTTTTTTCACGCTGTATGGCCATGTCCTAGAGACATTCTCTCCTGACGTTTCGCCTGCATCTATGGCAAGCATCCTCAGAGGTAGTGAGGTCTGTTGGAACTAGGAAAATGGGTTTATATATCTGTGGAATGATGACCAGGGTGGGACATAGGACTTTTGTCTGCTGGAGCTAGTTCTGAATGAGTTGTTGTAGGTTTTTTCGGGCTATATGGCCATGGTCTAGAGGCATTCTCTCCTGACGTTTCGCCTGCATCTATGGCAAGCATCCTCATAGTAGTGAGGTCTCTTGGAACTAGGAAAAAGGGTTTTTATATGTGTGGAAGGACCAGGATGGGACAAAGGCCTCTTGTCTGTTGGAGCTAGGTGTTAATGTTTCAGCTGACCACCTTGATTAGCATATAATGGCTTGACAGTGCCTGGAGCAATCTTTTGTTGAGAGGTGATTAGATGTCCTTGTTTGTTTCCTCTCTGTTGTTGTGCTGTGCTGTGTTGTTGTGCTGACCACCTTGATTTGCATTTGATGGCCTGGCAGTTGTTTGATGTGGCTTGTTAGTGCCTGGGGCAATCTTTTGTTGAGAGGTGATATGATGTGCCTGATTGTTTACTCTCTGCTGTTTTGCTGTTGTAATTTTAGAGTTTTTAAATACTGTTAGCCAGATTTTGTTCATTTTCATGATTTCTGTTGAAATTGTCCACCTGCTTCTTGTGGATTTCAGTGCCTTCTCTGTGTAGCCTGGCATGGTGGTTGTGAGAGTGGTCCAGCATTTCTGTGTTCTCAAATAATATGCACAGTCAAAACACATAAACATGCCCCAAAAATATTATAAACACACATAAGGAGGGAGCCGGGCATGTTGAGCTTGGAGAAGAGAAGGCTGAGAGGGGACAAAAAAGGCTAAGTTTGAATATTTGGAAGGAACCCCCACCTCTGTGGGGTGGGGGCAGAGGTGGCCCTAGGTTATTTTCAATGGTAAGCAACAGTATTTTAGCACCCCCCCCCCCCCAAACCAATCATTGATATATATTTTCTGTTTGTCGTGGGAGTTCTGTGTGCCATATTTGGTTCAATTCCATCCTTGGTGGAGTTCAGAATGCTCTTTGATTGTAGGTGAACTATACATCCCAGTAACTACAACTCGTATATGTCAAGGTCTATTTCCCCCAAAAGCACCCCTGGGCAAAATCAACTATACTGCAAATGCTTACTTTGCGTAATGGGTTGAGCCGCCCCTGGGTGGGGTCAAGGAAGTGGGAACCAAAGCAGGAAAGGCCCAGCAAGGCCTGCCTGCCTGTTCGTGTGGGTGGGCGTGGAGGGGTGGGCTTTCCAACTCCGCTTCCACCAGCAAGGGAAGTGGGGAGAGGGGCTTCCGAGCCACAGTCTCTCACTTTCCTTCTTGATGTCTACCTTCCCCAGTCGTCTTTCCTTTCCCGCCAGCTATGTCTTCTCAGGACACGACCAAACTACGACAGCCTCAATTTGGCCTTCTTGACCTCGAAGGGGAGTTCTGGCTTAGCTTACTGGTGCTTTTTGCAGTCCACACGGTATCCATAACCTCACATATCCTTTTTGCTGAGAAGCCACAGATGGCATGGCTGTGGCCCCAGAGCTGAGCGGGTGGTGGGCAAGAGGAGGAAGCCCTGTGTGCTGTCGCACGCTGGGCCTGTGCATAAGACTGTAGACAGGACATAAATTCTGAGGTCAGGGATGCCTCAGATTAAAGGCCCTTGGATTTCCCCAAACAGAGTCTTTAGAATGCTTAAAGGTTCAACAAAGTTCTTTATTAGGTTCTTGTGGGTTTTTTCGGGCCATAGAGCCATGTTCTAGAGGCATTTCTCCTCTCAACCTCTGAGGATGCTTGCCATAGATGCAGGCGAAACGTCAGGAGAAATGCCTCTAGAACATGGCCATATAGCCCGAAAAAACCCACAAGAACCTAGTGATTCCAGCCATGAAAGCCTTCGACAATACAAGTTCTTTATTATTGAAAACAAACAGGTACTTCAAGGCTTTCTTAGCAGTCTATTGGCTCTCTCAATCTCTGTCCACAGGGAACAGGCACTATCTTCTTAACTGTAACTAATGGGGAAATCCTTAACTTCTAATCTGGGCAGTCTGTCTTTGCCTCTGTTGGCGTGGAGCCCCTACACCCGGTACCAACTGCTTCTGGCTTCCGAGTGACCCTTACCAAGCAGAGCTTTGTAGACTTCCAGGGAAAAAGGAGTTCAGGTTTCAGTGATGGCTGACTGAAGTCCCTCTGCAAAGGAGCTGTAAGGCTGTATGATCCTCGGCCAAGCTGTGGGCTGTATATCTCCCCTGCCAAGCCGTAGAAGACGAAGCTTTCTACAGGAGCTCTTGGTATTATGTCCTGCATGGAAAGCTTCTCTGTGTGGACTGACCCAAAAAGGCTCCTATTCCCTCCAAAACCCAAAAAGGGGGCGGGACCAGGGAACCTAACTATAATTGACAGGTGGCTTGCCCTATGATTGCAGCCAAAAGAAGCCACCTATCTGCAGAGTCCCTGAAACTTAGGACTATAACAAACATTCAATGCAAAGCAAACAAAATTGGAGCTCCTGGTACAGCTGTACCTGCACACCCTGTCACCCACGAATCCATTGAGTTCCCCTGGGAAACCCCCTTTTGAGAAGAAGGACTCCTGCAGGCAGGCCCCTTCCTAGCTGGATC